CACATAGGCCTATCGTATTTTGAAATGTTAACAATGATTGCTCTGAAACACAACCACTGAATGTTTTCTTTTGTGAATTTTCTGGATATTTCCCATTTTTATCTTATTTTATAATATAGAGAACATTTAAAAGCCAGTGGAAAATTTTGAGATCATTAGACAAACCTTCTATCAAGGTGAAGTCCGTTTCCATCAGAGCAAGGTTCTGGGTGACAATTATTATATCTTCCTTCTTTCCTTTTTTTCTTTGGTGGTTATTGGTTTTGATTGTTGTTGTTGAGACAGAGTCTCACTATGTAGTCAGGCTAGCCTCAAACTCACAGTGCTCCTGCCGCAATCTCCCGAGTGCTGGGATTACAGGCATGCACTGCCACACCCAGTGATAGCCATATTTCTATTAACTAATTTGAATAGAGAATATATAACATTCTCACAGAATGATCAAAGTGGGACTTGACCTTGGTTACAAATTATAACAAGACTGAATCTTGTGTGTGCTGAATCTTCTATCATGGCTGACAGTGTCACTGTGCAGGGAATAATCTCTTTGCCTCTCTAGATACATGCTCCCCCTTCTTCCCTCTATTCTGGGCCCCCTGGAGTGCCCTAAAGGGAAAGCATCAAGTGGCTTTCAGGCCTCTCTTTGAGTCTGGAAGAGGGCAGGAGACCAGAGAGTGGCTCAAGCCACTTCTCCTGCTTCCACCTGGCATGTCACCACAGACTGGCTGCACCTTTCTATTGAAAGTCACAGCTCCTGTCCAACGGCCATCTCTGTACCACTCAGCTTCTCTCTAAAGATCTCAGTTCCCCCATAGCTATTGTTACCCTTGCCTCTTCAGATCAAGGGGTAATAAAAACCGTACATGTTACCAGCCTCACATGCTGCTCCACCTCTATCATTTTTCCAAAACACTGCCCAACCTTTGTGAATGGTCTCCAATTAATTCTCCTCAAGTCACCCAATGCAAGTGTCACCTAATTCCTGACAGGACTCTGGCTGATATAGTAATATATGTAACTATCCAAGAGAAACAAAGTTATGTGCATTTGGAAACACTTTCATTCACGCACTGTAATGAACAGAAGTTTAGGCCCACGCTAACTATTATTCCAGTACCTAGAACATCCTTACATATTCCGTTCATCTTTTTAAGATTTTGGGCAAGTTACTAATTCTTACATACCTTACCATATATAGGATAGCGTGCTTACAAGAAGAATAGAAGAAAACACTGCTTATGGAAAAATTGCTTTTGTCACAACAAATTTGAAGGTAGACATTTTCTTCGTGGGTCTACCTCGTATCATATCACAAATGCCTTTCCCTTGGCTCAAGGTTGGGTTTTAGGTTAGCCCCAAGCCTTACTTGCTGACAAATTTACTGGATCCCAAAAGGGTAGCATGAACACTTTTTGAGTTTGGAGGTTTTTTTAACCACTTAAGGATCTGAGGAGTCCCTGGAAAAAAAGAACCTCCTAAAAAAGTCAGACCACTCCACAAGCTTGTTTCAACAGCAAGGTGCTGTGCTGAAAAGAGAAATGGTGATTCTGAGAGGAGTAGGGGATTTGCAACTCAGATTATTCCAATCCCTTTCCAAGAAAAGGGTGGGCAAAATGATCTTTTCACTCAAAATTTCTGTGAGGCATTCTAAACACAGGTTTAATCACATCAATAATAACAAGAAAACTTAGCACAAGAGATGGGGTGGGTGGGGCACAGGACAAGTTGCATCATTTTAGCAGGGTACTTCAGGCACAATATGGTTAGCCCGTGAGTCCCATACTCACCCCCCAGCAATAGAGGGCAACTCCAACATGTGCAGCAGTCCTTTGAGTGACAGCTCTGCAGGGTGCAGAGGCTCCTCCCTACTGGCAGATCACCAAGGCTCCAAGAGCTCAGAGACTAGAGGTAGGAGTGTCATTGGTGGTATGCCCAGAACAATCAGATGCCATGGATCCTTCAGCAGAAGGCAAGGGTTTTAGCCACCATGGAATGTAGATAGTGTCAGCTCCTAGAGACAATGCTGATGGCTTGGGGACTGGCAGGAGACAGCAGCCTTGGCAGTAGGCAACAGCAATAGTGGCATGATACCCTCACATGGCAAAGAGGATGGTAGAAGCCATAAAGAAACAGCTTCTCTTATATTGGCTCTTTAACTTCTTACTTGAACAAAAGTGAATTTGCAGCATTAGGGGATCTCTTAAGCCTTCAGAAAAAGAATACTGAATGATAAATTCTATAAAGAAAATCAAAGCAGTGGCAAATCCAAAGTGGTTGAGAATTGCACAAGAACTGGGGAGGGAGTGGGGATGTCCTGGCAAAGAAAAACACCATCTCTTTCCCATCTTGGTCAAGCACTAGGCGTGGATGACACCAGCACAGAATCCCAATAGCGCTTGTGAAATAGAAACACTGGAGTATTAATCTCTCATTTTACTAAACCAATGAATAATAAACTCTAGAATATGTAAAGGCACAAGACTTTGAACACCTTGAACTATCTTGGACCTGATTTCTGTCTCTGCTCCCTGTAGAGAGGTGAATGTTGTACATTTCATCAAGGGTAGGGAAGCCACAACGTGCTCAATTGTGAGCCAAATGCTTCTGAGACTTCATTTACTGAACAACAGAGCTTAAGAAATGCACAGAGAAAAAGTTAAATTTCTCAAAACGAGCAATAAACAACAAGGCAGCCATATACTGACATCCAGTAACGGAATAAAAAATAAGTTCCTGCAGATATGCAGTACCTTATTCTTCTATGGAAGCTCTCCTCCCCCAAAGAATACCTTCAAATCAATGGGTGCCCAGAAGGCTTTCAAGTGGCTGAGCATCAGATGTGGGGTGCAGTGGGATACCATAGTACTGCCACCTTGGGAGCCAGGTGCCTTCCTGGTGAGCATGGCCAGCCTTCTCTGTCTCACCATGCATTGGCATTGTCTGAGCCTACCCAATACAGCTATCATTTCTAGCTGCTTTCCTCTTCCTCCTTTCTCTCTCAGGTAAGACTGTGAGTAGCTCTGACAACGCATACCAAAGAAGGCTGTGAGAACAATGTCAAGTTAAATTAGGATGCCCTCTTGGCCTTTGAAAATGGAAGACCTCCATTTTCACAAACACCTCAGAAGGTTACCCACAGTAGATTCAAGAAGCATTTATGACACTTACTTCCTTCTCTATTCAGCAAATGTCCATTACTACAAGAAGGATTAATTGCTACAACATACTGGCTAGGATGAGACTAAGATCTCTCGCACAAACTAAGAATAAGGACTTGTGGTATTCTGTAGTTTTTGCTTGTTTTCTTGCTTTTTGATTTTATTAAAGCCAATCCCAGTACATTTAATCATTCACACTGTGCCAGGTGGTGAAAAAATAATTTGGGAGGTGGTTCACTATTGCAAGCATGGCATTCCAATTTTGGGAAAATTGCTCGAGCACAAGAAGACCACAATGGCTCCCTATATCATCATTAAGGATATGATAGTTTTCATTCTACATGGAAGGCACTGCACACAAACAAAATGCTACAAAGTAGTTAGTGTAATAGGGAAGTCTCAAGTTTGTGACTGTGTGTGGAGGCTAGGAATGGCCTTGAGATTCACCTGCCAAAGTGTGTGTTCTCAACCACAGAAGAAACTTATTACAGAAAAATCCACTGAACAACCCACCCTTTGATTAGCTTATGATGAGAAGTATTTTTCTGTAACTATATAGATTGATCTTAATATACTCGCCCACCTAATACAACTGACAAAAGACAAGCCATGTATAGTAGGGGCAAAAGGAGATGCTTCCCTTCACCTGCTGAAGACTCACTGGATAAATAAAACAGGGAAAAAAGGCACAAGCTTGTTACCCTCATGGAGGTGGTCATAAAGTATAATTAACGAATAGCCCAGTGTGATTCAGAAGGGGAAGGATTCACAGGGGAGGGAAATGGGAAATGTAAAGTCTGCTGGGCCACAAAACAAAGGGTAATAAATGATTCTCTTTTAGAAGACAATCTTTTTCCCCCAAATATTGACTAGGAGTAAAATAGAAGACAACAGTGTTTAACAGAGTCTGTTCAAGTGTGTTAACAGACTTGTCTTTCCACAATGTGAGCTTTGTTAAATGAAAACTTAGCCAAGGGACTAGAGTTAATTATTTTTCCCCCTTTGTGGATAAGGAGAGGTGTTAGTAAAACCCCTTCAGCAGATGCTTCTGCTGCTTTCTAGGTTCCTTTCATTTAAAATGAAATTAAAATATACCAAGACAGTATATTATGGGGTGATAGACCTGGACCCATTCAATAGATAATCTCCAAATATCAGGAAGAAGGCAAGGAGATTTTGTCACATACGATTAAAATATATCCATCTCCAATTCTGCAGTGATTTTAAACTTCAGGTGAGCCTTTCACTTAAAGAATAAAAATATCTAGAGCCCTATTCCACTTAAATAGATTCAAGTAAAGTTTCTGGGAAGTTTTCCAGAGAGTTAGATTGCTTTAAAATTGGACATGCATTAAATGAAGCTTTGTCTAACAAGAATGAGCGAGTAACTGATAGGGTATCTGTATGTTCACTCTGCACAAGGCTCCTTTATCTCAGAAGCATTACTCAGAGAGAAGCAGCACATCAGATTACCACTCTGAAGACTATAAGCTGCCTCTTGCTGCAAGGCTGGCAGCTCACACAAACATTATATGAGCACCAAGCACCTGCTTCCTAAGGAATTTGTAATGTACCTGCTTCACTCCTTTCCCCAAGGCTCTCCTCCTTGACACACATGACACTTTTCATTCATTCCACTGCAGTTGCCTTTCATCTCTAAGGGACTCGCTAATAGTAAATGAGCAAAGAGGTTCTCTTCAACCATAAAACCAAAGAGAAGAAGCCTTCAGGTTACATTTTAAATGAAACAAAACCCCAAATTCTGAGAGTCTGCTGAACCACAACTAAAAGCCACTTCAGGAAGAGATTGGTTCCTGGGTGCCTGGCTTCCTTTCACGTTACCTGCTTCAGTGTACTTCAATCCCACTTTTTCTTCTGTGTCCTTTGTCTTTGGGGGTGGCCAGACAGCTTGGAGTCTGCCAGGAGTCCTGTCGTCTTGCTCTGTGGGGCTCTGGTCAGGCTGCAGAGAAGTAGTAGGCAAAGAATAAGTTGTTAAATGGAATGTGTCCATGTAGTTCTCAGAAACAAACATGCTAACACAAATTCTTATATTAGTTTTCATGGCTAGTTGCACATCACTCTCATTCACTGCAGTTGAGACATCTTACTATAGCATGAACCTTTGTTTAAAAACAAAAGAAAAAAATCCAAGGCTAAGTATTACACAACCCTTATTGTGTTTATTACAGAACTATCTTAAAAAGCACAATTAAAATTGGGGCTAAAGATACAGCAACAAATGTGTTGTATTCAGGTACATTTGTAGGAACGTTTACAATAAATGTACCCCAAATAACTCCAAGATTACTTAAGGGCTTATTTTGCATTCTCCACACTAGACACACTTCTGTAAGCATTCCACACTGCTAATTCCAAATGTTTTTCTTTCCTATTTAAAAAAAAATGAGTGAGATTGTCCTCATATTCAAGTTGTTTACATAGGTGTTGATTTTTATAAGTAGGAGAATGCTGTATTGTGTTTAGTTTTTAACTCTACCCTGAGATAATTTTTCAAAGGTTTAACTTTTAATGTTTTAACTGGATATTATAAACATATGAGGAGGTGTGGTGATCATATACTGGATGGATATTAGGCAAGAAATTCGACTCATGGGTCTTTACCATCTCCAGGGCAGGTGTTTTCTAGTCTTTACAAGTTCCTGAATTGATTTTCTTTGGGTACTAAGAGCTTTCATTCCCCAATCTTCTTGCGGCCTAACTTCATTTAAGTCTCATAATAACCTTATAAATTAAGGGTGATTTTCCTCCTCTTGCACATGAGATTGAGACTCAGATTTTATCAAGGTCACCCAGCTGGTAAATTGCAGAGTTAGAATTAAAACCCAGTTCTCATTCTAAATTCAGTGCTCAAGCAAGAAGACTTACATCAATGTGGACCATTTCAGTTACATCACAAACATTATTTTGCTAAATAGCAGTCTTTCAAAGGAAAGTGAAGTTCTCTTTCACAGAGGTAAAATTAAACCGTGAAGACATCCCTCCGAATCTCAGGTACACTTCCACATTGCACCACTTCCCTGGACTGCTAAGTTTTTATAAGTACATTTACTATTGAAGTTCAAACTCAGAGTGAACATTTTCCCTTCCTACCTACACATATCCCTCTTGTTACATCCCAGAAAACCAGGAGAAAGAAAGACGCTACAATCCAACTCAATACTTCCTACAGGCCAACTTAATTTCCTTACAATCATTTTCACACAAAAGAGAGTACTAACAACAGTCAATCAGGATTCACTTCAATAAGAAATCTGAAAAAAAAAAAAAGCATCCTATTTCATAGTAAAGGACAAAACCTAACTCTACATACACTTTTGGAATCAGAGGGGCCATCCACCGGCCTTGACTTGGACCGCTCAAACACAGCTCTTAGTGACTCCTTCTCTTGTCTCATCTTGCGCTTCAGAGCTTCCAGCTCAGAGGTATCTGCTGTGGTCCCCTTTTTAGGAGGACGGATAAATAAGGCTTTAAAGGCCTCCAGGGCAGTTTCGGGGGGCTTTGGCTTCACCTCACCACTCTGGATTTGGGCATCTCCAGAGCCACTCTGACTCTCCTGCTCAGTACTACAGCCCATCTCTTCTCCCCTGGACAAATCCGGGTCTGTTGCCTTTGGTTCGGTTTTGGGCATGTCAATGTTGAGCAGCTGAGAGAGCTGCTCCAGGAGAGTGGGAGTGGCTTTGAGATCAGCTGCTCTCTCCCTGCTCTTCACTGTCTGTGGCCCTGCATGCCCCAGAGACTTCTGTACAGGCTGAGTCAACTTGAGCAATGCCAGGTCCCCATCCTTTGGTTTAATTTCAGTGATGGTCTCTTCTCCCTCTGCCGCTACCCCCTTCTTCAGCACACGGAGCCCACTGAAAAAAGCCGGGAGCTGGAATGACTTTTCCCCTGGGGTTTCTCTTCTAGAAGAGTAGCTCTCAGTAACACCAGCACTCAAGTTATGGTCCGTCACTGGGGGTGGGACCTGGCACCCTTCTCCAGCCTGGCCCTCACTGGGGTTGTGCTGTGTCTCAAGGCCACAGTTGCCAAGTTCCAGGTTGTTGCTTATCTCAGGTGGAGTCTTCTGAGCATCCTCCGCACAGAGCTGTGCTTCACACCCTTCCTCAGTGGCACTATTTTCCTTAGACTCTTCTGAGTTTTCTTTGGGCTCCTGAGATGGCTCCAATACACCAATACCCGGGGACTTTGAGCCACTGGTGCTGCTTCCCTCTTCTGGTTCCTGGCCTCCATCATCAGAGTCAGAGTCACTAGTGGTGTGCACAAGGGTCCCATGGACCCAAATGACATCATCTCTGCCCACATCCAAGGCAGCAAGTGGAAGAAGCTCTTGACCGGGGAAAGGCGACTCAGCTGCTGCTGGTTCCCGACTCTCCTCTGAGCCTGCCTCAGACCTTGCAGCCTTCCCATCATTTCTGAGATCAGCTGGAACCTGAGCATCTGCCTCCTGCCGATCTGCGCCAGGGTCGGGATGGTTCTCCTGTGGTGTAGGGTCCACTTCCAAACTGTGGAATGCTTTCAGCACTGCATCTTCCTCTTTAGGCTTCACAGACTCCAACTTACTTGTAAATCCAAACAGGGACTTCATAGAGAATTTACTTAGGATCGACTGGGCCATCTCAAGTTCAGCTTCGGGCTTTTCTGGTTGCAACACATGGTTGCCATTTAGAGAGTTACCAAGCTCCTCCATGTCCCTGCAGTGCCCTTGGTGGAGTTGACTCTGGTAACCTCCTGTGCTCTCTCAGTCCTCCATCTGCTCTTGACTTACAGGACAGAGAGCAGCAGAACCCTGGAGGGAGCAAGCTCTTGGTCGCTCAAGTAACTCACTCGGCTTCTTTCAGATCACTGTGCTCTCCCTTCCGGTTTACTGGATGTCGGCGGGCGTGCCCAGGGCAACTATAAAAACTGCGTCGCTCTATGCCAGAGGCAGCTTGGGCTGAGCACCTTACTACACAGGGACCGACCCGAGAGGCTGCTGTTCTGGGACTTCCGTATTTATTCCCCTGGACAAAAAGCCTTTTGTCAGTGGGCAAAGTCAGCCTGCCGGGTGATCCCAGCCCAGGACGAGGAGGAGCTCCGCCCCGTGCCTCTGGTTCTCCTAGTTGCATTCAACTTCCTCATTGGTGAGCAACTTGAGGTTCCTAAACCGCTGAGCTAGCTGGCAAGCTGATCCCAGGGCCTTTAACCACCCCCGCCTCCGCCCAGCAGTCGAGGGATTCCAAAGTGAATCAGAGGAAAACCACTGAAATACTTCTTTCCCACCCTGATTGTGATCACAGGCTGGGCCGCCCAGGCCCTAAAACTAGAAGTGCACACACATCAACATCCACTTATAATGCCCTAACTAAAGTGAAAAATGGAGTAGATCATCTCAAAATACAGTCAGTCTGCTGCATTTGAAACTTTTTTTTTTTTAAATGCTTTCTTCCACTTCCCAGCAGGTTTCATCTGGAATGCAGATTTTTGCTGGCAGCTGGGAGGGGAAACCAACACAACTGGTTTCAGATTACTGCTGTTCTAGCTCTGCCCTGTCTGCTTCAGTCCTCTACAAACAGGTACTTAGTTAGGCAAGCAAGCCTTGCCCTCCACACCCAGTGTCCACCAGCCAGAGGGTGGCAGAGTAAACAGCTCCAGCTCACAGGAATGATTACCCTCTGTGTTCCCAGTGCCAACCTCAAGCTTCTTTCTGCAAGTAACTGGGACTTCCTGGTTTACTTAGGAATCCTGGTGACAGAAGGCACCCCTCTCCTCTCTGGTTCCAATCAACTAAATGAACCTGACCTGACACCATATAACACACACACAACCTGCCTTGTTGCTCAAAGTAATTCATCAAAGATCTCTAAGGATCCACATAGTTTTAAATGTTAAACATCTGACAGGTTGCTACCACAGATCCATTTTGCCTAAAACAAATGCAAGGCAGACAAAACAAACTTCAAATGTCAGCTCAATGTAATTTTTACCATGCTGATGATATGCTGTGGACCAAGCAATTTAAGGTCTGGGGGAAAATACAGCACCGTGTCCTAGCTGCATGTCTAGCTGCCTCTTTTGATGGCTTCTAGAACTGAAGGCCCCAGCATTTTTAAAATGCAGTCCAGTGAGCAGGTAAGCAGTGAGTCTCTGAGATGCATAGGTCACAGTACTTGATGGAGAGGAAGCAAGGCTTCTCTAAGTGTTAGACACAAACAGCAATTTCTTCTGCAAAATGGAAGCTGCAACCGGCAACATAATAACAGACTTGCTTTATCTGCAGCAGGGAATGGCTGTGTGGATCACACACTGAAAACTTAGCCAGGTTCTTCAGTACTAAAATAGGTACTGAGGAATTCTGATTGCAATAATTAATACATGTTTAGCAGTGTGCTCACAATGAACTCTCATAGGAAGGAAGGGGTTATTATTGCTCTATCCCACCGCCCCTGACTTGATTATGTGGCTAAATGATCCTGATTCAAGTAGATCTTGGGATTATTAACTGAAGTAAATATAAGCAAAAAGCCACTGAGACACTGCAAAAAAACTCACTGCTGGGCTGGTGGAATGGTTCAAGTGGTAGAGTGCCTGCCTAGCAAGCATAAGGCCCTGAGTTCAAACCCCAGTACTGCAAAAAAAAAAAAAAAATCCTCACTGCTGTCATTTCTCAGAACAAACTTCCTGCCTAGAGGAAATGCCCATTGATAAAAACCAGACTTCTGCTTCTTGAAGACTGGAAAGAAGGAATCATCACTCTAGATCATGAGCTAGGTCTTGCTTAGAGCTACTTACACAAACCACAAGGGTGGGGTGGAGACACAGCACTTTCTCGGTGTTTTCCTTCTAACTGAGAATGCTTCATTTTCTCACATTTAACTAAAGAGCAATTTCCAGGATAATTTTCCAGGTTCCTCAGTAGGCTTGGACAAAAACAGAACAAAAGGTAGAAGGGGTTTTTGTTCTTTTTACACCATAGCATGGCACAGAATTATAGAGTTTCAGCATCTCCTCCATACCCATAGTTGTCAACACAATTTCCAAGGCAGTGGAGCAAGTCTTTGTTCAGTGGAGACTGTTTATATGACTGAAGTCCCTTGGCTCTAGGTGATAAGATATTATAAGGCTAATTTTAAAATTTAGAAACCAAAGTCAAGAGAAGGTAACTGACTACAATTACATGGCTAGTAAATGGGGAATAATAGTGTAAAATCTAACACGTGAGTGTACTGTGTGCCAAGCACTGTTTCAGGTACTTCACACATATTAACTCATTAGACACAGAGAGCAACTCGATGAGGCTGGCACTGTTAATTCTCTTCTTCCTCCTAGGAAACTGAGGCACAGAAAGATTAAATAGTTTGCTCATGTTCACAAAGCCAATGAGTGATGGAACTGGAATTTGAATCCAAAACTCAACACCAGACTCCACACTCCAATCCTCACATTTCCTGGCCTCATAGGACCCACCACACACAGCTGAGTCTTGAAGTACAAAGGTGTTTCACACCAGCGCAGTAGTGGACTCTCACTAGCACCTGAGGGACACTTTCTCCTTCAGAATAACACAGAAGACAAACTTCACAAAAGTGTATTTATTGAGAATGACCCTGCTTCTCCCTGCTATAACTTCAGGAATAAAATTAAGAGATGCTTCTTAGGGAAAAAGGAATTCTAGTAGCACAATCTGGCTTGCCTACTGATCACAGACAAGACACAGAGTCCTCTAGACTCAAGAAGTTTTCCTGCCTACTCTTAACCATCCTCCTTCATCTATAAAGCATAGCTCCATTATGAAGACTCATTCATCTAACCTTATTAATGAGTACCACTTATGTACCAGGCTCTGAAGATATAGTGATGAAGACACTTTCATTAAATGTGACATTAGGGATGGAAATCAGCTTCAAAAAAGGTGGCTCTTTGCTGACAGACTGCAACCAAGAACTTTACACCCCAGACAGTCTGAATAGCAGCAGCTGCAAGCAGTGACCATCTAAATATGATATTGAGTAATGAAGGTCTTCTGAGCACTGACTCTTTCAGGCCACAGGTTTTCATGACCATAGCAACTGTTACTACTTCTGCTCATTCCAGGAACTGAAGTGTTTCTGACTACAATGTTCAAATAAGCAACCTACCTACAAATCTTACTTTAGTTGGTCTTAGAAAATTGTTCTATTTAAAGCTTTACATTCACGGGAGTGGGGAATAGTCACTTCTCTGGGACATCATTTACCTTAGGGTCTTATCTTGTGATAAATACTTATCAAGCACCTGCCACCAAGAACTGGTAGAAGCCAAGACTTTTATCCTCACAGCCTACTACAACCTAAGCTGATTCTAACTGTAAGACATGTGAACTCTCTAGACACGTCTACGTAAAAAGCCAGATTAAAAATAGCCTACTTCAAACAACTAAGTCAAAAAGAAGCATTTGGTCCACATGCTGTCCCTCGTAATTACTTTTCATGAACAATCTTAACTACTTAAAATCTGAACACCACATTTTGTGGAATTTCCTACCAGTGAATTCTCCATGTTTCTCCCATCTCACTAGCCTCTCAGCTATGTCTATAGATTGAATTGGAGTCAACTGTACCTTGTGGCAAATGGAATATTAGTGCAACAAGTAGATCCTAGTGAGATAAGCCTAAATGAACAACGCCAAACAGGGCACATCACCACCTAGAGGCAGGAGAGGTTAGCTCCTTGACTTACATATCCTTAGAAAAATCAGCACTAAAGTCAGCTGTCATTTTGCAAAAGTTGGGCACTGCCTAAAAGCAAGCTTTCTAAAGTCCCCCTTACTCTTGGTAGCCCTCCCCTACTGTCATTAAGGTTAAATAATTCACTCCAACATTCTCATAAAACCCTAGAATGGAAAGGAAAAGTTAGAGTGTTGCCCTGAGTTTTAATTGCCTTGTTGCACCTATCTAATTTATTTCAAGTTCAGGGTCTGATTTAATGACTACTTGCTTCAACTTCCAAAGTAGTTCAAGTAGGCTCATGTGAAGATTGCCTGATCAAGTAGAAAGCAGAGTAAAAATTATTTTTTGGTGGTGCTGGAGTTTGAACTCAGAGCCTAACACATGCTAGACAAGTACTCTACCACTTGAGCCACACTGCCAGCCCCAAAGTTAAAATTATTAAGGGTAAGTAAGACTGTAGAAACTATTGGTGTGGAAGAAAAGTTTTGGACTAGAAAAAGAAAGCATGCTGTGAATAAAGATGAGGGTAAATGGGTAAACATTTTGCCTTGCTTTGGTTTTTGGTTTTTGGTTCAGGAAGTATATTTTAACTCACCAAATGAAATTTGATGCAAAAGGAAGAGCTGAGGAAATTGATATCACTAGTACTCAAAAAAAAAAAAAAATCTCATTAAATGAGGGTTCCCATACAAGGACCAGTAAGATTATGGAAGAATTTGGGTAGGACTGAGTTGTTGGGAGGCTGAATGAGGCCTTAGAAACCTTAGAAATCATTTATGATGACCTCATCTCAATGATGAAGACAGGTTAAGAGAAGCTAAATGACCACTGCCAGCCCACACTGCTCAAAGTGCAGCATCCAGACGGGAATGAGGGGCCCTATCTCTGCTCACCCCACATCACTTTACCCTATTGATGCACCCTGTGATCTTACCCTCTTCCAGGTCAAAAGCCTCCTTATGCTGTTTTTCCTTATCCTTGTGCTAATTTTCCACATCTTTGA